AGGAATACAAACATATATTCTTGACACCATAGTTGTGAAAACGCTATTCACCCTGGCTTTATGTGATAATGGCTATGCCCCTTCCCTTTCATGACACTGTCAAAAAGGTACCAAGCATGGATGTCATTACAATTATGCCCCCCCCCCTGGAAAACTTCCTGTGGACGCCCATGGCTGGTAATATTTTTATTTATTTTTTAAATGGAAAAAAACTAAAACCGGTGACCACTGAAAACTGATATAGCATTTTACAAATATATGATTTGAAACATACTATATGATTGTTTTATAGACTCTTTCTGATGTCAGAGGTAATTAATATATCTCCCTTAATATTGTTAATGCCATTATTTTAATCATTGCCTTTTTCCAATTGTGTATATACACATTATGAAACAAATGTTACATTTTTTTTTAAGTATTATCCACTTAACTCCTACAAACTCTCACAGGTTGGGCTTTGTAAATAACTTAATTTATGGAGTAAAACGCAAATTGTGTTATTCACAGACTACATGGAACTGCTATGCAGGGACGCTCAGCACAGTGGGATTCCCTGGATTCACTGAAAATATACAGCTTTGGTCCCATGATATATAGCAAACAACGGAAGTTCGGAGGTTATCAATTTTTCTATATTTTAGTATTGATCACTACTTTTCCCCCTGTTTTTGCATATTATTAATTTCCGTAGAGCATTCCACAACGGAATATATATTTGTTCATTGCAAATTATTACTGTAGATAGGAAGCACAATAGCTGGAAGGCCCAGGTATCATTAAAGAGTTACTCAAAGTAACATGACCACTTTAGTAGTAATTTGAAGTGGTCATGGTGCCTGGAGTCTGTATGAGCAGCACATACAGAGTTTAACCCTGTAGCTGTAATTTCACTTTTGGCAGCATCATGTGGGTGTCATCAGCGGCTAAAGTTAATTCTGCGCAACTTTCGTTGTACAGAATGTCAGACTATTTCTGAACACAGTCAGATGACACTCTCAGCCAATGAATGTTGGCCGCTACAGCTTCTGGCTTTTGCAGGTCTGCAGAGTTGCGTCACTGAACCGTCAGGGAGCATCTGAGCCTGGGGGACCTGGTTAAGGGGGAAAACGTTGCTAAATGGTTTGCCCCATTACAAGGGAACTGGGTCAGGGTACTCCTTACAAGGTTATAAAACTTGGACTAAACTATTAATATCCTTGTTTTTAATAGAGATAAATTCTTTATTAGAATATGATATTAAGCACCGATAAATTAGCATGTTACATACTGGATCTTGTAATCCATAGCCTGAATCTCCATGCTGCAGTTTAAACTTAAAAACTAAGGAAATTGTTATCCTGGAAATGATACGAAATGAGCACTCATAAGCCGCAGATAGGTATATTCTGCACAGCTACGTTTACGCAAATTTTGTTGGTTACCTTGAAATCGCATGTTTACTACCTACATAGAGTATCAGCAGGCCACTTCACAATGTACTAACTAATGCCCAGGTGAATAGCATGACTGTATTTGCACTGTATATATGTTTACTACAGGACTCCAAACATGGCTCCAGTATTATGGTAGTAACCTAACATAACCGTTGTTTGCTTACCTTCAAAATGCTTTATATATGTTCTCGTTAAACGACTTATCAAAAAATGTGGCACTGCTAAACAAGGAAATGTTTCTACCTAATGCTAACGTTGTATTGACCCCACGCTGTGAACAAACTGTACATTTCCCTTTTCTTTCTTCTGTATCCCATCTTATATGCCGCAATAAAACAAAGATTGACAAAAAAAAAGAATATGATATTTACTTGTGTTGAACTTTTCAGAAAATTTTAAAAATAACAATAGAAGGAGACCTGTCTACGTCCGTCATCACACCCAAGGAAGAAGGAGAAGGAAGAGAAGATATACTTTTGAGAAACTCTCCCTCCTCAACAACTCCATTTCTTATCCATCTCATGTGCAATATTACAAAATGGGGTTATGTGGAACATTCTACAAGAACTCTGGATCCATCATAGATCACCCTCCACATACTTAATGAGATGCCAAAGAAATTAGCAAAATGCAGTAGACAGAAACTGTTTGAATGTCCTCCAGGCGCCACTCACCACTCCAAAATACGTAAGATATCATTTTTTTTTACATCTTTTGAATGGAAAGAAATTTTAACACAGTCTTTATGATTATATTTTTATGACTGTATTAAGACAGGACCGGTGACACAGGCAGTATTAAAGGACACCTTATTGACACATATTAAATGTTTTTCCTCACTGATTTGCCTTTGTCAACAGTCTAACATTAAAAAGTAACTATATCTAGTGTACTTTGCTCTATTTAGATTTCTGAGCTCTCTTTTTAAATTAAAAAAGGAAAAAAAAAATAAAGCTGTAGAATTTGCCTGTAATCCAGCACCAGGACAGTTTCCTTGCAGCAGGTGTTATGACTTCTTCTAGATCTTCTAGAGATTAGCATAGCATTGGGCACATTAGGCAAATACACCAAAAGTGAAAATCTTCGTAAATTGAAAAGTACGAAGGGCCTATAATGGCTGTCAATCAAAAATGGCAGTATTTTACGTTGTCTCCTCAAATAACACAGCATTGGTGCACCAAACCTACTTCAATAAGATGTTTTGGGCTTGGTCCTTATAATGTCCCTTTAACTAAATTTGAGCCAGTGAGAAAAACCTGCTTAACTACGAACAACATCAGCTGAGCATTTTATAATAATTTCAATGATGTGCCATTTTAATGTACGGTTTAGCTGGGTGATAATACTTAGATTAGATTAGAAGTACTTAGGAACTACCAATCATGTGACTTTTCTAGTGTATCATTGCTTACATATTATTCCACATTCCCCTCGATTATAAATTGTATGCAGATGACACCTATGTATATATTTATTCATAGAGAATACAAAAAAATAGTTGTCCGTCGTAAATACATAACATCTAGGAACATGTATTGTGACTTTGGCTAAAAACAATTTTTTTTTGTTTTGCTTTCCAATTCAGAAATTCTATTATTACTATTACTATATTGGACTGATATATATCAACAGCATGATTGACTGTAACACCATATTACAAGCACTCTTAAAGGACACAGCAGCCTGGTCATTACAGCGAACATGGTTATTCAGTAAAGTGAGAATTTCAGGGATTTCAAATTGAAGACTAAAGTAGCTGAACAGAAAACATAGCTGACTGGCAGAATTTTTTCCGGTTCGGCTGTTTTGACCTTAAAGGGACACTCCAGGCATTGGAGTGGTCTGGGTGCCAACTCCCACTACTCTTAACCCTGCAAGTGTAATTATTGCAGTTTTTTATAAACTGCAATAATTACCTTGCAGGGTTAACTCCACCTCTAGTGGCTGTCTACTAGACAGCCACTAGAGGGCACTTCCTGCATCATAGCACAGAAAACCTGTGCTAGAGCGTCGCTCGACGTCCTCACGCTGTGTGAGGACCTCCAGTGTCGCTCAATTCCCCATAGGAAAGCATTGAAAAGCATTTTCGATGCTTTCCTAAGAGGAGCTCTAATGCGCATGCGTAATGCGCATGCGCATTAGGTCTCCCCGGCCGGTGGGATCAGTCTCGTCCACCTGCCGACGTAATACAGAGGAGGAGCGGCGGCGGCGGAAGAAGCAGGGACATCGTCGCTGCCTCTGCTAAGTTACTGAAGGGGTTTTCACCCCTTCATCAACCAGGGATTGGGGGTGGGAGGGAGAGGGGACCTGCAGTGCCAGGAAAACAGATTGTTTTCCTGGCACTGGAGTTTCCCTTTCAATTAGAAATCCACTTTTAATTCCCTGCAATCCTCACTTCAGTGAATAACCCTGTTAGTCTGCATTGTTGCACTTAAAGAGACACTATAGGCTTCTAGATCACTTTGTCCCTTTGAAGTGGTCTTTATGCAGTTCCCCTGTCTGTTTAGTTTCTGAGAAACTGCAATGTTTATATTGCTGGGTTAACTCCACATCTAGTGGTTGTTTTCCAGATCCATAACAGAGTTTCACTCCAGTAAACGACGTTGGACATCCTCATGCAAAGGGGTTATCTAACATCTTCAAATTCCTCATGAGGGACATCTTCAGATTCTTATGAGGAATCTTTAATGTTGAGTGGTAAGCGCTGCATGCTGTGACGTTGTTGGAGGAGCAGACCCAACCAGCACCAAAGGGATCCTCGGTGTAAAAGGTAAATTAAAAAAAAAAGGTTTTTAACACTTTAATCGGACAACAGTGACGGACACCTCTAAAACTATGAACAGGGTCTCTATACCATAAGGGATATAGGGTTGTATTCCTAACGGTACAGGATTAATGTAAGTCTTAGAAACTCTACAGTTTATTTACTGAGCATGTTTCGCAGTGAAAGCCATAACTGAAAAATTTAGGTGAAATAGACTTGGCTTTCAATTCACCACAAATCTGGTTCAGTAAACCATTCTGAAAGCAAAGCATGTCAGTATACTCCTGACACTGTTCCACGGTTCTGTGTTAAACAACTTTCAAGCAGTTTGACCTGGGGTGCAACTCTGACAGGACAGTTAAGGCTCTATACCAGGCATGGCAACCTTTGGCACTCCAGATGTTTTGGACTACTCCTTCAATGATGCTTTGCCAGTATTAAGGGTGTAATAGCAATTTGGGGGATGTGGTCCACAACATCTGGAGTGCCGAAGGTTGCCTATCCCTGCTCTATACATTACCTAATTGTTAACACTGTCATTCCTAATCTAGATAGCTAGGGTTATCCTTGTATACAAGGCTTCTTCATATCTTCTGGCTTGATCACAGTGCAAAAATGTAAACGCTATATCCCCCACTCCCAATAGCAATTCAAGTGATGTGAGTACCAGTTGGGCTAGGCAAATATCATGATCAAATGCATAATTACCCCTTAAAAACAGTACTATGCTGCTATTAGGTGAACTGCATACATGCCCAGGTATTTCTGTAGTGTAAAATGCAAACACATATATACAAGGATTGGTAATAAATAATTTATTCTCACTCCAGGGTTAAGGTTTACACATAAAAATGTATTTCTCACTTTGCCAAATTGAATGCAGTTTGGGAGGGGAATGGATTTAAGGAAGGATAGGATGATGGTGAAAAATATGGAACCAGAAATGGCAAATTTAGCTAAGATATCTAATCAGGCATAGGAGATACAGGTGTGTGGAATCAGGACAATTTTAAACAGAGGAAGAATTATGAAATAGGATTGGTGTCCGCAATTTCCATAATAATAAAAATGAAATACGAGAATGTATACAAATTAAATTGTAGGGTGCACACCTTCTCCCTGATCCTCAGCCTTGAAGTGCTGAGGTTATACGGTTGTGGCACCTCCACATTTACTTTCGCTATCAGATAGAAAATAGTACAGAAGAAACAGTGTTCCTTCCATTTAACAAAGGCGTCTATTTAAAAGCACTAAATGAGCTTTAAAAAGAAAATTTAGGGTTTGGTGGTGTGCACTCAAGTGACCCTTATACTGCAGGAGTACCAGCTCCATCTAAACTTGTGTGTGTGTATATGTATATTAGTACTTGACATAGTTCTCTATAGTTCAATGAAAATGTAAGGGTCTAACAATAGTTTCTATTAATAAGAGACAGGCACACAGTTATTTAGCTGCACAAAACAAATAATATTTAGTCAACAACACCATTCTCAAACCAAACCAAATGAGTTGCACGCTCTCACATTTACATCAGTAGCCACTTGCTAGCCACACACACAACATGCTGTCTCGTTACACATACTTCAGTGCATACATATCTAGCCACACATAAACATACACATAACTAGCAGGACTGGTGCAAGAATTTTTGGTTATACAAATGTATCTTTTTGCCTACTCCACCCCCTCCCCCTCCATTTCTCACACTCTTCTCCACCATGATTGTGCGGCTCTGACACGGATATCATGAGTGTGTTGCCCAGTACCCTGGATTTGGGAGCCAGAAAATCTTGATTCTGACACCTTGGCTGGATCTAGCAGCAGAGACAGCTATCACTGCATTTCTGACAGCAGAGACAGCTTAAGGGTTCCATTTGCTTTCATGTCCAGCATCTGACTCATAGTGCTCTGACAGTCAAGATGACTTGTCAAAGAGCAAGGAGAGCCCTGTGGTGGTCTCTAACAACAGAGAGTCAAAGACTGCTCTCTCTCTTTCAAATTAATTTTTTTTAAATATATATGTGTGTGTGTGTGTGTGTGTGCATGCACACAAGTAGTAAAACAAGATACAATTGCAGTAGAGGGGTTATTGAAAACAGTCAACGATGTGACTTAGGTTTTATTTGTCCTACTAGTTTAGGGGAAGGCAGGTTAAGGGGCAAAGATCTGCATTTTTTCACACTTAGAACTAGGAGATTGTCATGAGCAGTGAGAATGAGGTTTTGTGGGTCATTTTTTAGGAGATGGGCCTGTACTGGTGTAATCTTTGTTCACAGCTGTCACATCCCATGGTTGCTCTAGGAACTCTGAGGTTTCCTCTGCAATCTGCCCTGGAATCCGGAAGTCTATTGCTGGAGGCTCACCCTTTGGAGTGATACGGGAAGGTGCCCTTGCATCTGGAGGGCAGCCAGTACCCTGCAGAAACTGAAGGAAGTTTTCCTCAATGGAACCCTCCCTGCTGGGCAACCGAAGCTCATCCTCCCCTGTACTTCCCCTTTTGAAAAAACATCCTACCCATCGTCCCAATTCACCACGAATTTGTCGGTTTAGGCAGCCATAGAAAATAGGATTGGAGGCAAAGCAGAGAAAACCCATCCATGTGACTGCCCACTCTACTCGTGATCCAGGGGAAGGAGGAGGGGAACGCAGTGCAGCATACAAGTGGAAGCCAAAATAGGGCAGCCAGCACAGCAGGAACTGCCCTCCTACTGCAGCCAGAACAGCAGCTGCCTTACCCCCACCACTACCTGCCACCCTTTGTTGAGGGGTCCCACGTGTGGCACCTGAACCTGTCACCATAGTTGATCGGCTACTTAGAGATTCTGATCGTCGGCGCTGAGGTGAGGTGTCCATCCAGTTTGGAAGAGGCCCCTGGTGGAGGGCTGCAACTCGTGCCACCTTGAACATACTGCAGTAGACAACAATAATGATAGTGAGAGGCAGTAGGAAATAGAATGAGGAGTAGAAAAGGAGGAACCCTGCTCGGAAGACACTGTTGCCACCTCCCTGCAGGCTACAGTGTCCTGGGGCCGGTGGGTTCCAGCCCAGCACTGGAATGAGTGAGGTCAGCAAGGCTTTGATCCAGACACCAGCCAGTACCCAGCTGACCAGTCCCATCGTCATCTTGACTTGATACCTCATGGGATGCACAACATAGTAGTATCTCTCAATGTTAATGGCAGAGATGGATAAGATGCCTGTGCTGGTCAAACAAACACTCAGAAAGAGGTAGGCACGGCAGGCCATTTGCCCCAAACCTTGTCCTTCATAAATGGAGGGTCCCCCGCTCCCTGATAACATAGCTAGGGGCATAAGGGTCAGTGCAGCTAGAAGATCCACCATGCACAAGTGGAAGACCAAAACAAACTTCCTGAGGGATGGGGTTTTCATAATAACCCCCATTACTGCCACATTCCCAGCCACAGCTAGCAGGTCCATTAGAAGCATTATGAAGAGAGTCCCATAATGAGGATTGGTAGGAAAAGGGTTCCTTGAAGAGTTGAAAGAAGTGTTCCAATTGTGCGAGGCTAGGGAGGTATCCATGAAGAGAATCCAGGCAAAAGGTCACCATCTCTAGCCTATTCACGGGACCATCACCCATCATACCCCAATGAGTGAGGTAGGCCCTGAGAGAATCACAGGGGAAAGGAAAGAGGCAGGTATTCCTATTGAAGGAATAAAATGGGGTAAAATTAAGAAAAAGGGAATGGAAGAGACAGAAGGGTTAAAATGTGAAATGGGGAGGGGTATTAAGGGGCAGAGAGTACAGGTGAAGGGGATGTTAGAGGTTGAGGTGAGAGAGGGAAGGAAGGGAGAGAAGGGGAATGCGTTCAGCAATGGTCACATTTCGGACAAGTAATTGTCACAAGCAGTTAAGTCCTTTGGGGTAAAGTGGCTAGTGGTTCCTCTTTCCAGCAGAGCATTACGCCCCACCTTGCAGAGTATTTTTCCTTCTTGTAATCTGCTGCTCCACCCTGCAGTCAATTATTTCTATGTGAAGAGTATTAATCCCTTCTGCAGAGTATTTTTTATTTCTGCAGATCATTACTTCTCACCAAAATATGATGTTCTCTGTAACACAGCGTCTCATGTGTTTGAAGTCGAGCTTCATTCTGTAGATCATCACTTGGCAACACGGCAGCATTATTCTTCCCATCCGTCATTTAACTCTTTTTTTCAACACGCATGTTAGCCTGCAGGTGTCTGTGTATATAAATCTAGGTCGAGTGGGGGGGATTCTGCATCCTTTTACACACTTTATGGCGGAGATGCTAATTTCAAGATGCTGTACTCTGGCATATGCTGTTTCTTTAAATCCACATAGGCCGCTCAGCGACTCTTATGATGAACACGACCTGCATGAAGGAGTGTGAAGGGTTAATCCCAGAATCTTAGATGGGAGGGGGCTTCATAACCAATTAAATCTTAGACATTACAATATCAAGAATTATTTTAATAACATTACATGGAAAGGGTTAATCTAGGCTAAGCATGTATGTTCATATTGTATACATATATATGTCTATTTAAAAACATATATAGAATATGTGTACATTATACATGTGTGTGTGTGTGTATATATATATATATATATACATATATATACATGTATATATATATATATACACACACATACACGCACGTAAACACATGTGTGTATCTATCTATTGCTCAATCAATTTCATCCATATGGGATTAATAATTATAATTTTAACAAACAAACAAGACATGAATCCTTTTACATATCATCCCCAATTCTTGCTTTTCCATAATATTACACATTCACTACCTTCTCCAAACACCTGCATAACCACCACAATTTCTCTTATACACCTGAATGTACCTCTCCCTCCCTCTCGCCTTTACATTATCTTCTAATTTTACCGATCCTCACCGCATTCACCAACGTTTGACCCCACTGAGTACAAGGATGTGGTCAGAGCCCCCCCAATAATCCCCTATATACCTGTCTGCAGGAATCGGAGCTACATCGAGAAATCGGGAGACCAGTGTGGCAGCTCAGCCCCTAACCATCTAATGCACAGCACTGCAGTGAGAGAGCTGAAAGGCACAGGGTCCTATACACACTCAGATTCACACGCAGCATCACCATGTGCATGTGACAAAGGCAATCTCCCTAACACGTCTATATCAAGAAAGAATGCAGTGTGTCATTGGCATATTATAAGAGTCCACAATAAGTGACATAGAGAAAGAAAGTTCTCTCTTATATTTTTTGAGACTTTAAGAAACCAGGTCTTTGTGTATTTTTAAAACCAAATTCACATAAATAGCTAGATGCATAAAGAAACAATGTAATGAATAAAATTCACAATGTGATTGAGTCTCTAGAAAATGTGATACATGCATTAGTATATTTACATCCTATATACAGAAAGAAATAGGATGATGTAGTCAATCCACACTGAATTAGTCTAATTACTGTGAATCAGAAAAGGATGTATATATAAAAGCAATCAGTATAGAAGACAGATTGCCTAAAATAAACTTGAATCCATGGTGCCTAGAAATAGAAGATAAAACAGAACATAGTGCTCACTGTGGTCCGAAACAATTTATTATAATGAAGATTAAAAACACTCACTAGTGTAAATAAAATCTTAGCAAAATCGGCTTCAATAGCCTGCAATAGCCTGGAGTCCTGAAGTCCTGTTACTCCGGTAGGCTGAGGTCCGCGTGTAAGAAGCAGCTGATTAGACAAACTCATCAGGATTGCTGACTTCACTGAGGAGGATTGGGTGTAGTGGCGATACTTGATGCTGGAATAAAGTAAAAAGAATACTACATCATTAGTTAAACAAACCTGTATTACTTACGCAATAGTGTCCCTGTCCCTATATCTAAATAGCCCCCCCCCCTTTCCAATATCAATTTTAAACAATGAATTTACAGTGCAGAGACTCCCTTTCCACCTCCTGCAACGTCACGGAGAAGACATGACCCCTCTCTCTACGATGGTCCAATCCAATGCTCCTCATAGAGGACCTAATGTTCATGTGCGGTGAGTTCAGCCACAGATGCAAACTTCCCCATAGGAAAGCATTGAATCATTGCTTTCCTGGGTGGGATTCTGTATCATGTGACAGAGTTTTACTTGGACTTTACCCTGCATTGTAAACATTGCAGTTCATAAAAAAAAAAAAAAACTTCAATGAAGACAAAGTGGTCTTGGTGAGTATATTGTCCCTTTAAGTTTAATGATGACTTAGTGTTCCTTTTAAAATATGTAATTCCTGTGTTATCGCTTGATGTTATATGGTATCAAGTGTGGCATTGGCTACAAGTTATCCTGCATTACAGTGTCTACTATATGTTCTCCTTACTGCAGGAGGATGGAGTGCCGCAGGAGGATGGATGTCAGGGAATGCTGTTGGACATGGCGTCATTAAGATGGGCTGTGCCACTATGGGCTGTCTGTCGCCAGCGTGCCCATGTGTATTGACAACAGAAGCCACATTCTGCAGAATTCACATTAGACACCCAGAACTCTTGTTACAAGCTTGATAATGATAAGTGTTAATAAGTGTGTACAGGTTTAGAAATATTCCCCTTTATGTCTCATTAGCTTCTATCTGAAAACAGCAAGGTGAATTGTTAGTGTAGGACTCGCCTACAAGGTTTTGTCTTGAGGTGGCAGGTGAGCTTTCACTTAAATGGCCATTGGAGTGATACTAAAAACCTCCAGTTATTTACATATGGACTTGGGATAGTAAGCAAGTAACTTTTTTTCTTTGATAATAATACCCCAATGGAGGTGTAAATTTACCTGTGGCAACAGAGGGGTTAATCTCTGTATGTGCAGCATTTCATCACAACAAGGTGCACATATTGACTCCAGGCACCATGACCACTTTAAATCACTGAAGTGGCCAATGATATTTGGAGTAACCCCTTAAATACAGGGGATCAGATTAAAGAGACTCAATGCAATGTAGTGCAGCAAACTCTAGGTATCCATTGTATAATATGATTTGTGGTCGGGGAAATATTGCCGTAATGGTTAGGTAACATATAAGAAGTAATAAAATCCTAGTTAATTACACCAGTCGGTTGTGGTGTGCCGGAACCGATAACGTAGAAGGCCTGTAGTAAAGAGGACCCACCTTGATTTGAATAAAGGGAGTGGTGGGAGGGGTAAGTTGCCAGACCAACCACGGTAATGTGGGAGAGGATTGGATGCCCTTATGAAGGGGACCCAAGCCCCTCACACAACTACAGGCCCAGCCTTAAATTTGTGGCCTGGGCAATATTGCCATAATGGTTAGATAACATATAATAGGTAATACCATCCTACTTAATAACACCAGTCGGTTGTGGTGTGCCAAAGCCGACATAGTAGGCCTGTAATAAAAAGGACAAAAAGAAGTGTACCATACAAAATATATATTCGTTCTACCACGCCCCACAACTACTTGGACAAGTCACCAATGCCTGCTAAATCCCTAACCGGTTCTGGTATATGTAATGTATAAGTGGATGAGGTGTTGGGTAAAGACAGTTCCCCAGGAACTTGGGTACCCGAGACATAAAACTCTACGAAGCCACCATTAGTTTGATCCTTATAACGTACTGGCAGGGCTAGCTATTTCCAAGTGGTGAAGAATTTAACTAATGAGGGTGACAGCTGAGGCCCTGCTAGTTGCCAAACGGCATGAGAGGCTCTATCTATGCGTTGACCCGAGGGGAAGTAGAGGCCACCGAACGCAGGTGGCGGGGTGATGACCTCTGGTGACTACTAAAGTATAAGATAGAATGGGAGTGATAGGTGACGCCCTCCCTATGCAACAATGCAAGGCAAATAACTATGCGTTAAGCCGATGGCGTCGTCCTCCGAGTATGAGGGTACGTCCGAGTATGAGACTATGGCATAGAGGCCAAAAACCTACCAGGAGCAGCCAACCAGGGAGGAGGGAGAGAAACACACCGAGAGATGGTGAGCCCGAGAGAGAGAGCGAGAGACCAGCCAATGCCAGGGACACCTGGCCGGACCACCCAAAAACGGCGAGGCGCACCACCCCAAGGGAAACCTGACACCACCCACCCCACAGGCAGGCAGCGGAGTGAAGACAGACCCCCCAGCCAGCCAGGCAGCATGAGGTAGGAAATAGCACAAGCCATGTACAACACAGAGATCAAAAGAACAAGAATAAGCAAACAAAATGCAAGACATGACAACAGACAACAAACATAACCGTGACAGTCAGAGACGAAAAGTGAGCACAAAAGCAATGGAAAACGGTGAAACAAGTGTTTCATTGCTTCACCACAGAAGACAAAGAGAACTAAACAAAGAGCACATGAGACACACACAAACAACACATAACAATCCCAGGTGTAGACATGCCACGGAGCCCAGAGATACAATACATACATAAACGAGAGAACTATTGCACAGGGAAACATACTGCACATATATACATATGACACCGATACATACAGCACATATATACATATAATATCGATATATACGGCACAAATTCCAACACCATGCACCAGAAAGCCACTGGCAAAAGCAAGAAAGCGGGAGAGGGAGGGTGGAGAGCAGAGTAACGGGGACCCCGGGAGGGCGGGCGAGTGAGCAGTCAGCCGGGCAACCAGCAGCACATACCAAACCCGGGGGAACCCGGAGATGGAAGGCACCTAAGCAACTGGCCCCGGCGGCGTGCAGCAAGGAGCAGGACCACCGCGACTAGACCACGTGGATACAGGTGAGTGTAACTCACCAGACCAACCACGGTAATGTGGAAGAGGATTGGACCCAAGCCCCTTCCACAACTACAGGCCCAGCCTTAAATATATCAGTACATTTCTGGTGCCAAGTTACTCAAAACTCCCAATGGACAACTATGCCTAGCGGAAATGAATACAGGCAACTGAATAATATATGCACCATTGTGGACTGTGCCGCTGCACACCATGCACTAAGCATCCCGTTTAGGAGGCATAAGTGATCATCAGGAATGACTGATGTTTTGATTTTGCAGTGTGGCTGTCCAATTTACTATGTTATCTCGCTAAAGAGGGTTTAGATGTCCAATTTTGCAGAACTCCTCAGTAGTGATGAAGTGTATTATTTATTTTCCTACATGCAGGGCAGCACTTTTCATGTGATGCACTGCAGAGTGAATGAGTGATATTTGTCCAGGAAAACCCAGGAATACTAGTTTGACTTGGAACATTTATTGTTAATGTTTTAATGTTATACAAGCTATCGTATGTATTTCCTGTGCAGTGATTGAGTACCCTACGTAGAGATTTCCCCATAATTTAAACATGTATTCTCTTACTTATCGGGTTCTGCATGCCCCTTTTCACAGCAGTAGCAGCACAAGTGAGGAAAGTTGTTTCCTTTCCAGCTTATGATGGAAGGTAATGGTGGAAGTAAAACGGGAATAGGGTGGGCTAAGGTTATGGGATACTCACTAAAACAACAAATTTTAGTCAATTAAATCCGTATGACAAAATTCAGTCTAACTCACTCAACATTAACCGTAGATTAATTGGCGGGATTTTCCAAATCAGCTATTTTTGCCATTCAGGTATATTTTACAAATATCAGTGTTTAGTGAATAACCGCAATAGTATTAGAGTAGTGAACACTGTACACCATAAATGTGTGTCCTATCACAAGTAGGCTTTTCAGTTCAGCAAACAGGGTTATTCACTCAAGTGAGAATTGCCAGAAATTCAAAGTGGATTCAAAGGGAATTTCACACTTAAGGCCACAATAATCAAACTGGAAAAATTCTCCAAGTCAACTACTTGTCCAGTCTGGCGATCTAAGCCTTATATTTGAATTCAATTCTCACTTAAAGGTAAAACCTATGTATATTTAAAATTTGAGGGTCATTTCCCTTATATAATTTTCTCAGGTATTGCGTAAATATTGCATGATAGAACCTTCCGGAGTATGATATGGACACCCATTGCTTCGTTTTGCATCCGTGGGGGTGATATGCAAGGGAAGGGGAGGAGGCATAGTAATCTACAGTGTAAGGAATGCAACTTTGTATTCCTTACACTATAGAATCTCTTTAAAGGATCAGTCTAGAGCAGGGGTAGGCAACCTTCGGCACCTTTGGCTATAGTGTCAGGAGTCACCTGGTATATAGCCAATAAAGTTCTTAAGTAGTTAGCAACTCTAAGTCAATGAACTCCACCTAGACAGCATTGACATGATTAATGTAGACGTAGTGGCTTCCAGATTAGCAATACAAGAAGAGGACGCTGGACTGGGGGCACCTGGGATACTGAGGTAAGTGTCAAGTGGCTGGACTACTAGCTGTGAGACAGTGGCTAAATGCATTGTCAGCTTTATTAATGTAAGAGCTTTATGGGAGATGCAGTCCACAATATATGGCATTCCAAAGGTTGCTAACTCCCTTATATTATCAAATTAAATGTAACTAATTAAGCTAATTTATATAGGCCCTCCCTGATTAATTGATTTCATCCTGTTTGTTATATACCCTACATACTGCTGCAATGCATTTCTCATGTGCTGGTTATCAGTACATAGAAGGGGATCTGATAAATCTTGGAGGGAAGTTATGGCCTAATATATGTTGTAAAAATTTGGTTAAAATAGCTAAACTATGTCTTATAACTGAGTTTCTGAATTTTTTCAAAATCAGCAA